CAGCCAAAAAATACACTCCAGACACGCCGCTGGCACTAGAGGCACAGCATGGCCGCCTAGTAACGGCCCCGACCACTGCCGCTCGACCTGACCGGAAAAAAAACGTAGCAGGAAGCTAGCAAAGGCGTAGTATATATCGTCACAAACAGAACTGCCCGGTAAACCGTAGGCAGAGAGAGAGAAGAGGACAACAAACGAGGGGTTGTGACAAACTGTTTCGTCGGAATTTCACTGACTCATTCTTTTAAAAATGGCAAAGAATTTCGATGTGACCCTGAGGTAAAAGTTGTTCAGTTTATTATTCTGCATAACATCTAGGGCGATTTCCCAGGCGCCCGGATGCCAAATTCCCGACTGGAATAGCACCCGGGCGCCTGGCCGGTCAGGACTCCCGGTCGGGCCCCCGGGCCAGTTTCGCGCAAGGCCCAATTTTTTTTTTTTCGCAGCCTGGGGGTTGCTCTGGGGTTGGGTGAGGCTGGTAGCACCAGCGTAAAAAAAATTTCGGCCGTGGGGGGACCTGAAATGTGCCGTCCCGCGTTGCCGAGATCTAGCCTTCGATCTCGAAGATCGACGACTGGATTTCACGGGTTTTGAAATTCGTTTGCCCGCGCGTTTTCGCGCCGACACGATGAGATTGCTGACGGAAAAACGCGCAGGCAAACGACTTCCCCTACGGAGTTGGCCATCGAAGCGCACGCGACGACGACGACGCCCCGAAGACCCCCTGCCGTTGCCCAGGGAGCCCGCCGACCACTCCTCGCCCATCACGGTTTGTGTGCGTGTGTATGTGTGTGTGTGTGTGTGTGTGTGTGTGTGTGTGTGTGTGTGTGTGTGTGAGAGAGAGAGAGAGAGAGAGAGAGAGAGAGAGAGAGTTTTCCAGCCATTTCTCTCCTCCTCCTCCTCTTCTTCTTCTTCTTCTTCTTCTTCTTCTTCTTCTTCTTCTTCTTCTTCTTGTTCTCGTCCAGCTGCCATCGCCCCGGACATCTCCCCGCTACCCGCCATCTTCTTCTTCTTCTTCTTCGTCTTCGTCTTCGTCTTCCCGCCCCCCCGACTTCGCCGCGACGGCTTCCATCTTTTTCGTCGTCGTTCAGTAGGTAGCGCGAAATAGGACACGAAAAAAAATAAAAAAATGACTGTCCTCCAAGTCAGATCGTACTCATCCTCCGACCCTCCTCTTCCCCCTCCTCTGCTCATTATCTTCTTCTTCTTCTTCTTCTTCTTCTCTCCTCCTCCTGCTCCAGTCTTTTTCGTCGTCGTTCTATAGGTAGCAGCAACAGGCACACCCCCCCCCCCCCCCCCGCACTCCCCAGGCCCAAAGTCACCCAAAAAAAAAAGACCCCGGATTTGGGGTCTACAGACCGAGAGCGGAACAACCCCGCGAAAGAAAAATAGAAATAAATATTTCTGGACCCTTTTTTTTGACGACCGGGATTCCCGGGCATGGGACCGGTCCGGTCGTAATGACCGGGTGACCGGCCGGTCCGGACCGGCCGGTCATGGGAATCTTCCTAGCATAACATTTTTTTTTTTTCGGAGTTTTTTTTTTTTTTTTCATTTTTTTTCTTTGCTAGTACCTTCCCTGGTCCATGCACGGCAGGGCCTTTCGGGAAAATAGGCTGTGCGGTTCGGAGGGCGGGAAAATACAACTCGACCCGCACGGCCTGCCTGGTAGCATAGGAGCAGGGCCACTACCATGCCCAAGTTCCCACGAAGACTATCCTGCTCACCTCGACAGCCTACCCTTCCCACGCGACACCACATAAACGACGCATGGAGCAAGATACTTCTTCAGCGTAGGTTATCAAGGCTGGAAGCACCCTCAGCCGAAGCAGCATGTCGATGGCTGCGCCAGACAAACACCAACAGAACCTCGCGCCATCGCCTGCTGCCATAACCCCCCCATTGGCCACATCAACTCCTCGGGATTCCCTCACAGGGCGCCGCGCCACAATGCGCCACCAACTCACGAACCCGCCGATGTCGATAGCGCAGCGCCGCGGCACTCCCGGTCGCGCCGTGCCAATTATTGAGTCCCCATTCATTCTTACTGCTCTTTTTTTTTTTTTTTTTTTTTTTTTTTTCACCAGTCATGAAAACCCCCCCAAACTATCTCTCTCTCTCTTTTTTTTTCTTTTCTTTTCTTTTTTTAATGGCAAACAACTATGGCAACCTGCTATTGGAGGTGAT